AATTGTTGATATTTATTGGATAATTTTTCTCACTCCTTATGTTTCTTGTTGAATATATGCAATTAATTATAATAGAGAAAAAAATATCGATGGATCTACCGGCGATTCTGAGTCCTTTCCCTTTGGTCATATCCGCAGTATTCTCTGGTACTAATTGGAGCATAGATATTGTTGCATATTCGGTCACTTTCAATGGGATAGCAGTGTTATCCTTCACACTTTCTCCAAATCAAGAAGTTCCCACTATGATTGACGCCCTTATAATAGTAACTTTTTATTTACCCCAGCCAATCACGTTAACCCCATAGTAAACTTATATCAACCTAATATGTAAATATTGTAATAGATATGTGAGAAATAAGTAGTTTTAATTACGCATGTTGTTGTAAATATTTTTAGAATAATATGTAATGTAATGTAATTATAAGCTAACTATTTGTAAACAAGTTCACAAAATCTTCCTTTGTTTTTATGTATAATATTATTAAGGGTATACATGTGTTAACAATCTATAATGAAATATATATATATATATATATATAATATTGTGCTTAATATTTTATAAATTGGGCGTTATAATTATAGGAGATTTAGAGATGACTTTGAAAACAATATTTCATTGTGCAGATATAAGATGTGGTGCTTAAGAGTCAAATTAAGTGTTGAAAAACCTTCAATATGTGAGTTGACTATTGAGTGATAAGTTATATGTTGTCTCTTCTAAGATTTATGTGGAATCTGTATGGGGTCTAGTCAAAGCATATGCGTATAAATTAATCAACTGAGTAAAATACAAAGTCAAGTACTTAGTCTCCAACCGGGTATTGGAGGCGCATAATACTTGGGATAGTCGGTAGACTAATCTTATAGGTAGCTTAGTAGTGTAGACTAATATTTATGGTAGACTCATACCCAAACTGTTCTACCCTAATAGTAGTATTAGACTTCCTAGTTTAAGTGACAAAGCTTGAGAAACCAAATTGAGTGGTTAGATGACTTGGTTGAGATAGGTCATACGTTGTGTTTCGATAGGGTCTAACCACTTAAACTACTCACCTCGGTTGTAGAAGATCACCATATGTTGATATGTGTAATGAGACATTAGTTATATATGTGTATGTGTGTTTGTGTTGAGTGTTGAAGTTGAGGAAGTTGTTGAGTTGTGCACATGTGTCAAAATGTGAAAAGTTGTATTATATGGTGCTATATGATGACCTAAATGTATGATGTTATACTTGAGTTGAATTATTTTGTATGCTGTTATATGACATTTCTTTTATTTCATAAGCTTACCCTTATTTTTCTTTTGGTTAAAATTGTTATGATCATCCTTAGTATGAGAGTAGGACATAATTAACTGGACAGCTTAATGAGTGATGTGGCTAGTCATGCAAGAAATGACTTATTTTGGTGATGTTGTTTTAGGGACGATTAGGTTATTGTATAGATGCTTGACCGACTAGTATGATTTGTTTTCATATACAATTATATAGTGACTTAGTTGTATATATATTTGTACATGGTATGTATTTAGCCTGTGAGGGTTTTATCTTTTAGTTGTTTTGTTGTTCTACCGTACATGTATAGTTTGCATGATTACTTATATAATTGTTGCATGACAACCCTAATTGAGTTGAATGTTATGTGTGGGTTCCGCTACCTAGTAACCATGATAAGTGTAGTGACTCGTTGAATCGTCACATTAACTGTTAGTGTTACTATTAAAAAAAATGCCAAAGATGCTAGAAAAGTTATATAAAAGTAAAATCCATTAAATTAGACTCATTTATAATTACATATCATCATGTTAAAAAGTTTAATCACATTAAAAGAATAAAGTGTAAAATACTCATCTCTAATAACTTTGTTAACATTATCATTACAAAAAATATGCAATTTAGCGACCACCAAAATCGGTCGCTAAATTACTAAAATCATTCGTTATTTATCTTAGCAACCGAATTAACGATCAAATTTAATCAGTCGCTAAAACCCTGGTCGCTAAGCTATTTAGCGACGAAAAAATTTTCAAAAATTTTGGTCGCTAATTCGATCGCAAAATGGTTGCAATGATTTTGGTCGCTGAAGTGTATAGGACCAAATTAGTGACCGAATAAATCGGTCGCTAAATATTATTTTTTATTTTATTAAATTTTATAGACGTCGCAAATTTGGCCGCTACGAACCACTCATATTTGGCCTCTTAACGATTTTATTTCACAATACTTAACTTTTTAGCATGTTTTGTCCTTAATTATACAATTTTTGGAAACTTCCCAGAATGTCACTCATTCCTATATTACTCCAAGTCAAGCACGCTTAACTGTGAAGTTCTTATGAGATAAGCTACCGAAAAGTAGATGTATGTTGTTAGTATAAGTAGTACAAATTAATTCATTTAAGTCATCCTCAACTATCCAATATCATACTTATATTATCTTTGGATCCTTAACATTTTGGTGTATCCGGACCGTTATAAATATATAATAATAATATATAATAATTATATTACTAATAATTATTATTATATTATATTTAATTAATCTTTATTTATGTATATACTTACTTTTATAATTAACAATCTACTTATTTCTATTTAAAATTAATTTTATGATACAAATTAAATTATTTATTATAAATTTAAAAGTTTAAGTAATAATTTATATATTTTAAAATGAGAAGGGTTATAATAACACTGGTATAACTTTTACTAAGTATTACGCCGCTCAATAACTTTATGTTAAATGTAAATTTTGTAAGTACAACTGTTAGATTGAAAGTTCATATCACTTTATATATGTTTATATCAATTTTTGTTAAAATTGAACAACAAGTTAAAAGTAATCAAAATGCTTATATTTTATTTGAAATGTATATATATTACGTCAATTTTGTTTTACAAGAATGAAGTATCAAATCATCTTGAATTCATATAAGATTTTGTATATATGATCTAAGAGTAAAAAACTTTCAATCTAACGGTTGAATTTATAAAATTCACATTTAATATAAAGTTATTGAGCGATGTAATACTTAGTAAAAGTTACACCGATGTTATTATAACCCTTCTCTTTTAAAATATCATTTTCATAAATTAAATTTTAATATTTTAAATAAATTATTAATTAACTTAGTATATTTATTCATCTTAAATCTAAGATATAAAATTCAAAAAATGTATTTATCCTTGTTTTATTTTCTAATTATCAACCATTAATAAAATACTAATTTAAAATCTTATCTAATTATATCATAATATTTTCATATCAAGTTTAAATCAAATATTAATTATACAAAAATATTAAAATCATATAGTAACCTATTAATAAGATAATCAATTTTATCACACAACAATAAAGAAATACTAATAGTTAAGAAAATACATTTGTACTCTTCCTATTAGAAAAAGAGAGGATGTTAGAATTCTTTTTTTCTTAAGATATCACATCTCTTCTATCAATAAAATTTAAATATAAAAATTTATTTAAAAATAAAGTTATCATAAGTTAGAAATATATATTATAAATGTGGATCAAAATAAATAAGAAATTTTAAAAAATTCATATACTCTAATTAAAAAACTGCCTAAAAATCAAATCGTAAAAAAAAACCTCTAAATATTTTTTACATAAATAACTATTAGTATTAATTATGTAGGAGTGCATATAAATATTTTTTTTTATCATAAATAAATGTCTTGCTCTTACAAAAAAAGAAAATTGGATTGATACTCAACAACAATATTATCATCACTTTTAAGTAATTTATAATTTTTTTTAAGTTTTATTTAGTGACTGAATAGAATTACATCGCTAATTGTAACAAATATTTAGTAATCGAATTTAATTCCGTCGCTAAAAAACTCAAAATTTCTGATTTAGCGACCGAATTCAATTTCGTCGATAATTTTAACTAATATATATTTAGCAACCGAATTTAATTCCGTCGCTAAAAAAATCAAAATTTCTGATTTAGCGACTGAAATCAATTCCATTGCTAAATTTAACTACTATTAGCGACCGAATTCAATTCCGTCGCTAAATTTAACCAATATTTAGCGACCGAATTCAATTCCGTCACTAAAAAAATCAAAATTTCTAATTTAACTTCAATTCTGTCGCTAATTTTAACTTATATTTAGCCACCAAAATCAATTTCGTCGCTAATTTTAATTAATATTTAGCGACCGAATTTAATTTTGTCGCTAAAAAAATTAAAATTTCTGATTTAACGACCGAATTGAATTTCGTTGCTAAATGTAACTACTATTTAGGGACCGAATTCAATTCCGTCGCTAATTTTAACTAATATTTGGTGACCGAATTAAATTTCGTCGCTAAAAAAATCAAAATTTATAATTTAGCTACTGAATTAAATTATGTCGCTAAATAAATTGAAATTTCTTATTTAGCAACCGAAATAGCGACCAATTTTCTAGCGACGACTTATTTTGGTCGTTAAATCGGTCGCTATTTTGATTATTCATAATCGGTCGCTAAATCAGTCGCTAAATAACGACTGATAAATTTCAGTCGCTAATTTCGGTCACTAGTTTGCAATTTTCTAATAGTGATAATTCTAATGAATAAAAAAATACTCATCTATGAGATTTTTTTTTGTTCATATATGATCCACGTAATATTTTAAATTGATAACGAAATAATAATGTGTTTGTGAGATGTTATTTTTACTAATCTATTATTATCTTAGCATAAACGAAGATCAAGCTTGAAAATACTAAATTAACCTTGTAGGACAAACGTAACAACCACTTGAAGAAGAGGACTTGGTTATTTTAAGATATTATAGTGTAATAACTTTTAAAACTCATGCAAAAGATCTATGAATCTATCATAAATTACACCATAGACCCTTTTAATTTACTTCTAAGACATCAACATTAAATAACCCAAATTGGTATTTGAATAATAATCCATGGCGCGGTTCGAGGGCAATAAATTAAAGCCAACATGGGAAGAAGATGAAGATGTGACAGAAAACAGCACCTAATATGGCATCCCCTTTGTTTGAGAATCCATACTGGAAGGAGCCTTCAGAAATTTTGTTCAAATCATTGTCAAGCAATATTGCTGTTCCTGACCCTCTCCACGATTCTCTTTCTTTCGATATGGTTGACTTCTCCACGCCACCAACAGAAGGAAACCACCATAACGAGGCAAAGCAATTGGTGGTGAAATCTGAAGTGCAGGATAAGGAAAGGTCATACATAGGTGTGAGGAAAAGGCCTTGGGGAAAATTTGCAGCAGAGATCAGAGACACAACAAGGAATGGCGTAAGGGTTTGGCTTGGAACCTTTGAGAGTGTAGAAGCTGCTGCGTTAGCTTATGACCAAGCCGCATTTTCCATGAGAGGCCATAATGCTGTACTCAATTTTCCAGTCAAAAGGGTCAAAGAGTCTTTGCAAGAGATCCAATATAGCTGCTGCAATGGATCTTCTCCTGCACTTGCACTCAAGGAGAGGCACTGCATCCAACGAAAATTGTCAGCAAAAGGTAGAAAGTGTAAAGGGAAAGAGACATCAACATCGAGCATGGTGGTGTTAGAGGACTTGGGAGTTGACTATCTAGAGCAACTTCTAACCATATCTGATCAAAGTGCAACCCATAGCTACTTCAACTAAACCTGGCCCACTGTTATTTTCTTCCTCTTGTTTTTGGCTTTATTTACAACATCAATCTCCTGATAGGACGCATGTATGTATTGTGATCCCTCTTTTATAACTCCTTTGCCATTTTCATCAGTTATGAAATCTCTAATATTATTTGATTTCTGATATTCACTAATTAATTTTGATCCACTAAGAAAGAAAAACGTTTTCAACAAATTTAGTTCATTCTTTTCTTACCGTATCAATTGAGAGTCATCTAGAGCAATACTTTTGCTGCCTTCACAAGTGTTTCAAATTGTTGATCGACCCTCGTCTTTAGGTGAACCTGAATTTTTCCTCCCAAGCCAATTTTTGTGGTTAATTACTTTTTTTATAAATCAAAGTGAATATATTGAAAGTTGAGTACAAGAGATACTCAACATAAAAAAGTTACACAAATAGAATAAATACAAACCACCAACAAATAAAAAAAAGTTCTCTCTAAAACAAAAAACTTGAGACCAACAACGTAAAAGCTAAACCAAAGTGTGTATTCACGTAAAAAGAACAAATAATTAACAACTACTATTGGCATATAGTTTTAATGCAACTAGCAGGACAACAAGACCAATTCCAAAAGTCAAAGCCTTTACCCAATAGATGCAACAATCCCAGATCAAGATCTAAATTTAACTAATTAGTGTAGCAATTTCATCAAATATATCAAAGGGAAGATTTTGGAAGATGAGATTATTAGCTAAATACTCCACAAAACTACATGCTACAAAAGCTACACCAAACCTTTTTTCACCGTTTACCTTTGACGAGCTACAAAAGCTGCCTGCAGTGATAAAAGTAATGTACAGGAATGGTGGAAAGCACAACAACAAAGTCAAGCCATAAGTACATTGCATACTATAACCTGAGGGAGAGAGGACACGAGAAGAATAGATATTGAGTAGACTCGTGCACATCACCATATAGACTACCAAAAACACCCTACAAATTGTGAATCACCTTTCTTTGAACAAGTTCACCTTGTTAGGTAGTCTGTCTAGCAGCACTTGCCAAGAGAGGGCAAGAATCTTGTTGGGGGAGTATACTTCCAAAAATAAAAAAAAATAAAAAAATAAAATAAAACTCCTGAATATGGACAATTTAATTAGCTAGAGTCAGTCGGCTTAGCAAGAGAAAAATATGTTGTTAATTTTGATAGAATAAACCCGAGAAGATTTTGTGGTTAATTACTCGTTTTCATAGTTTTCGTGTTGAAGTGTTCTGAATATATTGTTACAGGTGTTCAATCAAATATTTTCCTTCATATGTAGAGGTTCATTGTGTTACTTTTAATTTCATTTTCAAAATCTTAATGTAGAATTCCATGAAAAATTCACAGATATGCTGGATTAAGTTTATTACATCATTGACTACAATGTTGTATATATACCCGCATGTGTGTGTTCAATATAATTTTGTTTATATACACTATTGGTTAAAAGTATCTTAACACAGACTTTCAGTAAATTATTTTGTGTAACCATGTCATATTAATGAATAAGACAATGTAATAAAACAATCAAATTTTATTAAATATTCATATAAAAAATACTTTACACCGACAAGATATATATCCTCAAATATAAAACCATTTCTTTCAATTTTTCTATAAAAGTAAACTCTTAAATAAATCAACGTTCAAAAAGTATTTTATATCTAACATCTTGTCTTATGTCACACAACAAGACAAATATGATTAAAGATTCATAAAGTTAAAGTAATATATATATATATATATA